ATCGAAGGAAAATAGTATTCAACTAGTTTCATCTTGTATCTAGGATCCAATATAGTTGCAATAGCTAGAATTTCATGCATGTCACTCCAATATTTATCAAACTTTTCCTTCATGCTTGACGCCATCCATTTGACTTCATCGCAAGATGATGTGCTCCAATCACGGATTGCCAACTTTATGTCACAAATATCGAGAAAGTACAAATTGGCAGTAGGATATTTTGTTTCTGAAAATAATTCAGTCACTTCATAAAATATCTCCAACTTATCATAAATCTCTGTAGCCAATTCTCAATCACTCTCACTTGGTACACTTTTGTAACGAGGCTCTCTTTGCCTTAGTCGAGGAAAAAGTTCTTTGTAAAGCAAAACAGTATGAATCATTAGATATGGGGAGTTCCATCGAGTTTTGCAATCCAATACTAACTTTTTTTCACAAGGGATTTTCATTTGTTGTGCAACTGCCTCAAATGTTTCCACTCTTTTTGGTGTTGCTGACCAATATGAAACACTATTGCGAATTCTCTCAACACTCGAGCTAATGATATCCAAACCATCCTTTACTATCAGGTTCAATACGTGTGCACAACACCTCAAGTGGAAAAATTCACAATTCAACAATAAAGAACCAAGAGAAAGCTTATCTAACATAATGTTAATCATAGCGTCATTCGTGGTGAAATTATCAACAGTCAATGTGGACAATTTCTGATCAATATTCCAATCAAATAGACAATCCATTAACACAGTAGACAGTGGCTCAGCAGTGTGGGGACAAGGGACTTATAAATCTGTATGGATGTGAAAAAAAGTTCGTAAGATAACTTGAAATTTCAGAAGATATACGATAGTAGTTTAAAGTCTATTTTATAAAACTATTGTACCTCAAAATTCGGCTCTGAAGCCTCCAAGAATCATCTATATAATGTGCAATGATAGCCATAAATCCCTTCTTTTGATTGGATGTCCACATATCAGTGGTGACTGCTATCCTACTATTGGTCCTCTCTAATAAGCCCATTACTTTTGTTCTCTCATAATCATAAATTTTCAAGATATCAACCTTGATGGTATTACGAGAAACAACTTTAAATAATAGTTGAATTCTATTACAAAACTTTCTAAACCCAGTATGCTCAACCATTGAAAGAAGATATTCGTGTAGGATGATCATATTTGCAAGTCCCGTCCTACCTTTCTCTTGATCAAAATTAAACGCTCCCATTGCAATCCTACCACCAGGTTCTTTAAATTGATTCAAAAACATCTGTTCGACATCCTTCTGACCTCGAAGAGGACATCTATTTAAATTAGCATGTAAATAACTTGTCCCATTTTTTGACTCACCTCCTAACTGTTTGTTGCATTGTTTGCAATTTGCTTTGGACACATTATTAATTCTCGATAACTTAAAATGTTGCCGCACTGAAGTGGTCAATTTTGTTTTTCTATTTTCCTCAGTCGTCCCCTCATCACCACCTAAATCTATATGAATTGGATTTGCATTTACCTCACTTGGACTTTGTGAAGTGACTGTTGTACTTGTTGATGTATCCTCTCAAATGCCAATAGCGGTATCTCCAACTTGAATTGAAGCAGAAGCACTTCCAATTGAAGTGGGGGGAGTAGGAACGGAAGATTTTGACCCTGGCAAGACATCTAATTTCAAAAAAAAACCAAATAAACAAACTCAAAAACTTAGGCATTCATTAATTTCATTAGGTGAAAAAGTGAAGAATGAGGTGCCAGCCATTATATAGGAATGAGATGCTAAACAATGCATGGAAAACCAAGCAAATCTAGTGTGCCTATTCGAGCTCGTCTAACTAAGTGCAACCAAACCAATGACATGGATTAAGGTTAGGAGGAACGGTTCAATTTTGATCACATTAATATCCTCAAAAACTAATAAACATTTGAAACCAAGTATAGTGTGTCTGTTTTAATACCTTCAACTGCGGGAACAACTTTGAACCCAAAGTATGGTATACTGATCATAACACGAAATATTAGGACAAATAATGCTTGTATAAGAACAGGATTGTGAAATATTAATTTGATTAGGGAATTTCATGAAGTTAATACAAAGAAAAACATACTCAAATAATTAACATAATGATTTGCAGTATTTTCTTCAATAACTATTCAAATTCTAAAGCAAAAAATTTCCATCAGTAGAATTAGAAAATCTAGACCCTTAGGCAAAAAATCATCAAAAATGAGAGAAATTAAAGTCATTTATTTCTGCACCAATTGTTAAAAACTGAAATTAAAATTGAGAAGTGCAAATGCTAGAGCGAGTTTCTCACTATGATTTTGCAACCTCTCTTCTCTCTCTTGCTGGTCGGCACCCCACAGCACATTAGTAGTATCGGGGACATATCCAATTTTCTTGATTTTATCAGCGATCTTCTCCCACATTCTACGAATCACTTCTCTCGGTGGATGTGTAATATCGTTTGCCACGAAAATGTTTACAACATTCTCGAGCTCAACCCAACTACAAGCAGGTTCATTCTTCACCCCACTTTCGTTCATAATCTTCCTCACTTTTGCAGCGTCACTCCATTTACCAGCAGAGGCATAGATGTTAGAGAGTAACACATGGGGACCTGAATCATAGGGGTCAAGTTCAAATGCACGTTCTGCAACATAAGCACCCAAGTCCATATTCTTGTGCATCCTACAAGCTCCAAGAAGCGCTTTCCAAACGGCTGCAGTGGGTTCACAACAAATTCAAATTATCAAAAGAGAAGCTGAGAAGTTCAGTAGTGGTAGAAGCCTGAAGGTCGAAAGAGAAGAAAATATTGCAAACGGACGGAGGTGGACGGACGACAATCGACGACTCCGCGTTCGGCAGACCCAGAAGGCGAAAGCGGCTGCTGAGAATTCTCCAATGAAAGTATAATACGTTTGTGCCTCAATAGCCTTTGTGTTAGATTGTTAGGGTTGGGTACTTGGGCTAAAATATAATTGTTAACGGGCTAGACATTTTGGGCCAAACAAATTAAGTAATTAACATAGAAAAAATAAAAAAATTATGGAAAGCCCAATTATTATTAATTTATTATTTTTTCTAACGGTTAATCGGTTTGGTTCGGGGCAATAGCGTAAATACCATACCCGCCCCGTCCCAAATCGGTTCATTAAAATCAAATACCATATCCGCCCTCTTGCATCATCGATTCGGTTTTTTTGCCCCATTCGATTCGGTTAACCGCGGTTTTCGATTTTGATGGTTGAAATTGCCATCCCTAAATACAGCAAAAAAGGATAGAGAGAGAATAGTTCATTTTCCTTGCCATTGCATGCATACCTTGGCTTCATTTTTGTCTACTCTCTTACGTAACTTGGATAAACCTTGTGCTAGTACAAGTTACCTGGATCTTAATATGTGGAAACATGTTTCTTTATTTTGATTTTGGTGCATAAGTTAACACGTAACTCTCTCTCTCCCTCTCTCTCTCCCCATATATAATCTTTCCATTTTCAGTTAGCTACGCAGAGGAAAAAACTGAACTCAGACTCTCTTCACTGGATCATTTTTATTAATATCTCTATTGGCATATCAATGTTATTTATTTTTTTTTATTTTGGGGGAAGACAACTATTACTCTATGAGGATATCTCACTTTTTTGCTTTCTGTTATTTAGTGCTTATCACGTGTTATATCTCATGAATTGGATATATCATTTCTTCATTGAGACGCACAAAGTTCGCTGGATCCATAAGCACTTTCATTATTTCTTGCTATGCTATGCTTATTTTCCAAGGTGGTTTGACTTCATCATGTAATACAAACGCAACTTGGTTATCTGGCTTGGCTCAAACTGCTCTTTATGCCGACTTCTTCTATTACTATATAAAGAGGTAATTTTTCTAAGTAATGTTTCATTTATAGAGACACAGATATTATTACGCGTACGCATATGACTTGTATTGCTAATGTAATTGATACATACCATCCTTCCTCCCCCATTACTGTTAAAAATCGATAATTGTGCATAAATTAGTTTCTAGAATTCAGCTAATGGACAAATTAATTTATTTAATTTTTTACGTCAGCTGGAAGAACCATGAGAAGCTCAAGCTCCCTGCTTGATGTTGGCTACTACTTTTCTTCAAGGTGGAAGTAACAGATATCAGACATGTTTGTTGTTATTTTCCTTTTGGGGTTTTACTACGTGGCTAGCCTGCGTTGATGCAACAGCATACTTTTCAACTGTCTACTGACATAACGTCTTCAACTGCCTGACTGACTAAAAAAATTGAGATACTGGTTAATTTGGCCTAAGTTGCTGCTTTAAGGGTATGCTTGTGATGGGCTATATTGTTTTATCTATTGTTCTTAATGAAAATCTCATTCTTCTTTGTCAATTGATTAGCCCACATCTTCAGATTTCGGTAAATCCATAGATTTCAGATGTCTGCACTGTTAAACGGATAAAATTCCACGTCGAATAAAGAAGAAATATAGATAAATTTATAAGGGCGTTGACTTTTTAGGATAATATGTCAAATGTTAATATGATATTAGAATCCGTTAAACTCCAATGAGTAATTCGGTTCGATTAAGATTCAAAAATGATGTTAAATGATCAAATAAATATAGAAATATAAATTAATTTATAAAGATTTATGTTATTCTTGTTAATAAAATTAGTCTTTTAAGATGGAACTTCGTGTACAAGTGGGAGCTAATGTTGCAAAAACTGTTGAAAGAATTTGGGCATAACAATGTTTTCAATTTAAGATAACACATAAAAAGAAAAGTAATTGATCTTTTAAACTATACCAAGCAGGGATTTAAAATTTTTGAGTTATCAAAATAAGACAATTCCTCTTTCATCTCTCTCGCGCCAAGGCGTCTCTATGCAAATTGAGGAATTTCTGTGAAAGGAAAACATTTTACGTCGGGGAACTTTACAACTAATTTTTTATAAATTTTTTTCTACTTCTTAATAAAAGTTTGTTTATAAATGCGTAATCAATAAATTGAAAAAAGTTCCAAGTACCCATAATTTTTTAAACTTTTCCAAACAACTGCTTAACTTCTTAATCTCTCTTCTGAGTTCTGAATGAAAAGAATTTCTCGCTCTAGGGCTCTGACTGAGAACAATGGCGATGTCAAGGAGAACACAGGGCATAGCAATGGCGATAAGCTTCGTGAAATCCCTAATAATCCAAAGATCCTCCATTCTTCCTGCCAGCTCACGGTGTCTCAGCGACGCCGTTAGCAGCGAGGTTGTCATTTCCCACACCGCCAAATGGATGCAGGTACTCTCTCTATGTATATATGTATGTAGGTACATAGGCACACATTTAACTTTCAATTTTGGGGTTCATAATTTTGCAATGACAAGGATCGGTTTTATTTTTTAGCTTGACTTCGGTATCTGATCTTCTGCAATATGTTATTTACTGCAAATTTAATATTTCAGGATTCGTTGCAAAGATCTGTAATTGAATCTATTGCCCACTTCTTTTTTATTTGTAATTCTTGTATTTTGGAGCAAAGTTAAAGATTAAGCAATTTATTTGTCATGATATGCCTCCTCTGTACCCCTTCGTTCTATCTCATTTTTTGAATTTTGAATGTCTGTCGACTAAAGAAGTTTTAATTGAGGATTTAAATTTGAGAGATCAAATAGACGTCATCTTAATTGCTAAAAAGAATGTCATCTTTATTTTTCTTATTTCAAACCCCCCTTTCTCCATGGAATCCAATAGCCAGAGATGACTATGTATGGCGTGGGAGTATTTTATAAAAATAGATACCAGCTTTTGAGGTTCTTCTTTTGATCATTATGGGCATGATTATGACATTATATTATTCACGAGAGTATCATATAAACTAATCTATTGTGTGAGTGTAAGCAGAAATATTGGATGCTAACTGATGATGTGAAATAATTAGTATTTTGGTAACTGATTATGTCAGTCACTTTAGTGAACTTCTCATATAGACCTTTATTATGTGTCTTAGGGCGACGATTTTACCATTGAGTAGAACTGGACCAGATTGCCTCTTTTGCCCATAGAATCAATGGTTTTATTTTCACAATTCCGAATGGGAATCATTGGTCTGATTTTCAAGAAATCTGGACCAAACCACCCTGTGCCTACCCTTAGGTTGAGCTTTATAACCTATTCTTTCCTTCATCGTTGAAGTTTTGTAAAGGCCATCTGAGCTTCATTTAGGGTTCACGCAGACATTTTGAAAGCATCATTGCATTACAATAGAGCCGAAAACTAGCCAGATAAAGGAATTTTCAATTTTGTAAGTGCATTGACACAATTGTTTTCTCTTTTCAGTTATTGGAGAAAAAAATTGTAAGAACCAACTTAATTTTATTATTATACTATATTGAGACTTTAGTGTATAAATGACTGAAGATCTGTTTTTTATTCTAATGTGTGCTACTGGAAACTTTTCTCTATTTGGACCCTTTTAAATCTGTATTTGAATCCCACAATAATTGTATGAGTGCCATATCTTCATCAGTGCTTAATATGATGTGGATGGCAAGTATAGCATCTAAAACACTTGGTTGGAGCAATGAAGATGGAACAATTAAGCCATTATTTAGGCAAATAAAGGAAGATAGTCTAGTCTATAATGATAGATTTGGCCTTTATACCGTGTTTTTTATTTTTTATTTGGATTTTGTAAGGATTTGCCAATTCGGAAACAAAACAAAGTTGCAGCAATAAGTTTTACAGAATTTCATTATGCACGCTTTAAGTTCAATCAGCTTATGTGCTTGTATGGTTTTATGCATATAGTTTCCAGCAAATTTCATGATTCATTTTGGACATTTGGTTATAGCTTCAACTAGTATACTCTTCCTGCTTTGCCTTGTGGAAACTCTTGCAACTCCAGTTGCATACTATTATTGTTCTCTCGTACCACATTGTTAGGATACAAGCAAAAAATCTCCAATGGAATTAATCAATGAAGTTCCACCCATCAAAGTTGAAGGTCGGATTGTTGCTTGTGAAGGAGGTAAGTTTGCATAACATATTTAAGTTATTGTCACAATGTGAAGAGATTTCCATCCCTTGGTTGTATCTGTGTTTTCTAATATTCCCTTTTCCTTCTTTCGAGCGCAGACAATGATCCTGCACTTGGACATCCAATTGAGTTCATATGCCTTGACCTGGATGAGCCGGCGATATGCAAGTATTGTGGTCTACGTTATGTGCAAGATCATCACCATTAGGTAATGGGTGGTGCTGTAATAATTGTTGCCATGGTTGAAGTGATTTAGATTGCTTCTGTCATAATTGGTTTTAATATTTGTTGCTACGACCTATTTTATAAATAAGGTTTCTTGTATTACCTTCTCTCTGTCTCTGTGCCATGCTGTGAATTAGACATAAATAAAATTGATCCAAATAGAAGTTATTTTCCCATGTCATCGGATCGTATACCATGGAGTTCGTTCCGTTTCCAATATTGGGATGGACTAGACGTTACACTAGGCATGTTTTAGTTTTTTTTCCCGGTCCAGATTTGCCGTCAAAGTGATGAATAAAAAAAGGACTCTTTAAACCACCACAAATAAACTGACCAAAAAATAAGGAAAAAGGGAAAAAAAAAAATCTCAAAAAATCCCGCCGCCAACCCTCCAAACCCAACCCCAAACTCCAACCTCACACCTCTGCCATCACTACTAGTCGATAGCCAAACCAATGCCCCTGCCACAACCAAGCCAACACCACCATCGAGCACAAATTTATCAAGGGGAAAATTATCATCTCAGAAGAAAAAATATTATTTTTAATCAAATTTTCTCCCGAAATTTTAGCTTAGCTAAAGGATTACAAGCTTTGAAATTTTCGCAATATAACAAAGAACAGACAAAAATTCTAAGGAAGAAAATCAGAAAACTTTGAACACTAAGAATGCCTCGATTTATCTGTATCTTTTCAGTCACCATCTTTTTTCTCTCACTCTCCCATTTAATCACTGATCTTCAGAGCTTCAATATCTATCATCGGGAGGATGTGGGATTGGAGCACTAGTAGCATTGCTAGAATAGGAACGAGCGCACTTTGAGTACATTGCAAAGAACCTTGTCTGATTTGTAGTAGCATTACTGGCGGCACTGTCTCCTGTTTTTTTTTTTCCTTTTTCTTATTCGCCTTTTTATGCTTGTTAGTTTCATACATATATGTATATATTCTATTTAGCAGAGCTTAAGGGCAAGTTTGACTTTTCGCATCACTTGAATGACAAATTTGGACGTAAACTGTTAACGAGGACTAAGGCTTACCAAATTATGAAAAGTTGAGGGATAAAAATGCCAAAAAATAAAGTGTAAGAGAATATAAAGATTAGGGGCAGGGAATGTAATAGGAAAAAAATCCGTAAATAGCAAAATCCCCCGATTTTGAGTGAAAATCCTAGCCCTAATCCTCGAATCATATTCTCCATTCAATCCCTCTATGCTAATGACGATTTATCTCTAATCAAATGAAGCCCTAATTCTTTAACGAATAACTACTTCTGTTGTATTTTCTTTAAACGAATTAGAAATATCTATTGATAAATAGATATGAAACCTGTGAAGGGTCAGCACAACTTTGTGCATATGTATCTGAGGAATCGTATGCAATTTGTGAAATTTTAATGTGTTGGATTTTTGCTTCGGCAACAATTTCAAATCATGATATCTGACAGATAAAATAAGCGCTAAAATAGCAATCGACAAATTGAAGTCGTCCTAGAAAACAATAGCAAGAAAGTATATTAACAGAGGGACAAACAAAATGTCATCTTTGAAAATCTATTTCCTAAGCCCAAGAAAAAGAGGTTTTACTCTTTTTCATGGGAATTGAAAACCTCCTGAAGCACCTGAAGCTTGTCCACCTTTAGGTGGACTAATGGCTACCCAAAGTAAAGAGAGTGTAATAGCAATAAGACCAGACCAGACAAAGACAATTGTTGGTGTCTTTCCTCTTCTTCCCATGAGCCCTTTGGCAAAGGGATACAAATGAGCCAACACCCAGAAACTAAAGAATGCTCCACCAATGAACTTGCTCCATTTTGGGATTGAGCTGTAAATTGTCCTTGAGAATGCAACTACCATTGCAATAATGTTAACCATCCCTATAACAATAGGTGGGATCATCAAAGAAGTCCATTTCACTAGGTACAGATCTGCATAGATATCATCATTGTCATCTCCTGCAGATTTAGAAGTAAGTGTGAAAGAAATCTCGATTCCTGCAATAACTTTGAGAAGGCCTTGTACCACAGCGGCAAAGTGGGCACTGGTTCCAGAAATGAGCCAAAACTGTTCATTCCTCCACCATTCTTCCAGTCCCACGCCCGACCATTTCACTTCCAAGATAGCCAATGCAATGAGGCAAACCGATATAGTCAAGAGGAACACTAGGAAAACAATATTGAGGTTTTTCACGATGAAGTGGCCCGATAAGAGGGAGAGTGCAGGGAGGAAGCAGTAGACAATTAGGAATAAGGAAGTGAAAGGATATACACCAACATTGAGGTAAGCCAAGCGCTGCAAGAATTTGAGTTTTTTGGATCCAATTAATGCATTGTTTCTAGAGAAAAAAATCTCTACAGAGCCTGTTGCCCATCTGAGCACCTGATGGAGTCTGTCGGTGAGATTAATAGGAGCTGATCCTCGAAAAGCATCGCGCTTGGTGATGCAGTAGACAGAGCGCCATCCACGGTTATGCATACGGTATCCTGTCACCACATCTTCTGTGACTGAACCGTAAATCCAACCAACACGATCGCCCCATTCAGTTTTGTCCTCGTACCTATGAAACAATGTTATGTTTTACACTAGATCTAAAGTTGCACAACATTATAGCAAGAGTTTAACGAAATTAGATTACCAACAAGAAATGACAGAGACAGCTTCAGCTACTGTAGTTGCATCGAGTGGTTCTCTAGGGACCCTGAGAATGCCAGGAGGTCGTCCGTACTTAACAGCCGGATGATCAGCAATAGGGCGGCCTTGGAATTCAGCAATTGGTATAGACTCAGACAGCATTGTGGAGTTCCCAAAACGCTTAGGTAATAAATTGACATCAAGATCAGGATCAAAATCCGTGGCTTTCAAAGCTTGTGTCTCTGCACCCTTTGAAGTATTATCTCTTTTAGGGGGATCAAACCCATAAAGAGCAAATCGACGGAACATGCACCCTGTCCCCACATAAACCGGACCCTAAAATCAACATAAAATAATCACATCAATTCTGGAAAGTACCCCAGTATGACAAGAACACGAAGAATCTGCAAAAGAAAAAAAGATTAATGTACCTGAATTCCGTCAAGCGCACGCATATTACCATCAAAAAATACGGTGTTGTGATTGGCATAACGATCAGATGGATCAATGCCTTCAAATCTTTGGGGAAACTGAATATAGCATATGTCTTCGCCGCCCCTATCCATCATAAAGCACATCCCTTCACGGGGAGCCTTGCAATTGTAAATGTAGTGATCACAATCAAGATTGAGAATAAATGGACCATTAGAGAGTACGGCTGATGCTCGGACAAGTGCATTCATTGCACCTGCTTTCTTGTTATGATCATACCCTGGACGCTTCTCACGTGACACGTACACAAACATAGGCAGACGTATGTCCACATCCGAGAAGTCCAGAAGCTTGTCCTCGGATCCTCCGATTAGTGGGTCACTGCTTGGGGGCTTCAACATTACCTGCAACCATACATGAATTAAAGCACTTAATGTGAAGGCTTATATCAAAGGCCATGACAAGTGCATAGTCGATTGATTTGTACCTGCAGAATGCCAGCATGATCACCTTTGGTGTGTTCCCTAGTAGGGACTCCCCAAGTTCCAGGCCAGTGGGTTCCATCAGCCATCCATGTGGCCTTTTGAACCTTGATTGACTCCATAGGGTCGGATCCATTCTCTCTCACGCGCTTTAGAATTTTCATCTCCTCTCTGGCATTGAATGCATCAGATCTTCTCCTGATTGAATCAGGCAATCCATTTATCCTCACCTTGAATTCATCGTATTCCCTCTTAACTCTCCGCCTATCTTTCACAAAATCAGGCCTCTTCTTGTTTTTGGTCGGATCACCTTTCAGAGAGAAGTAGGTTTCAGGATTTCTGGGTTCTATATCATGTTTCCTGCAGAAAGGAACCCACAAATCAGCGAAACTCGCGGCCTCTGCCATGGCCTCAAAAGTGAGAAGCGCCCCACCATCGTCAGAAATGTAACAAGCAAGTTTCTCAACAGGGTAGTCTACAGCTAAGATTGAAAGAATAGTGTTGGCAGTGACCAGTGGCGGCTCTTTTTCAGGATCCGCAGTGGACACAAAGAAGTCCACTCCCGGGAGGTCAGAGGCTCCACTCGGGTTGGAAGATGATGGGATATCAAATTTATCTCGCAAAACCTCTAAATCTGTAATCCGACTCACTGGGTTGATCTTAGGAACCTGATCGAGAAACCAAGAAAAGGCGAACCATATTTCACATATAACTGACATCAACCACAGCCATATAGCTTCGTCATTTGGATGTCTCACCCTCCATGTCAAGAAGAAGACAAGTACAACCAGTCGGACAACAATAAAAAGCCTGCAATTTCATGTTGGTTACTAAACTTCATTATGTTACAAGTTAGTCACACTATACAATTGGTCTCTGTCTGTTAATTTCATATGTAAAGGAATGACTAGCTTTGTACATACCTGTAAGGGCTGATTATACTATTTGGGATAGGCACTATTCGGCTGAGGGGCCTCCATGGTTTATCTGATGAATCCGGCATGCCATTATGCACTCCATCCCCGTCGTGTCCATACATGTCATCTTGAGGCCAATAGGCATTACCATATCCATAAGTTCCCTGAGTCTCAAATAGCCATTTATTATGATCAAATTCTCCATTTTGATTCCTTTTCATCATAGACATACGTCGGTCTCCTTTTGAATTATCTGGCGCGGGAAGTGATAGAGCGCCACTCGAAAAATCTGGTACATCATCGTCATAATCACCAACTCTATATGGCTCCTTGCATCCAGGACAGAGACCAGTATCTTTTTGGGCATCCATATAGCAATCTCTGCAGATTTTAAACCTACAAAAACCATTCGAAGAAATGTTCATATCAGACATATTATTTAAAATGCATGGAAATTCTAGCAGCTTAAGCTCGTAACTTATAGATAAGATACCTGCATTCACAAGGTATAACGTCTTTACCCCTTTCATCCTTCATAACCTTGCCATCACAAGCCGGCATGGCACAGGACGAGCCCTTGGAGCAGGCCATCTGTGGATGACTCACCTCTGATTCAATCACCTTATCCATGAGATGAGCACGCGTGACGCTGTTGAATCCACCAGTGAAGAGAGAATTGGATACATATTGTTCTTCTGCTTTTGTAGCTACAGAAGTGTCCATTGGCTGATTATCCGGCGTAGGAGGAAGGTGAACGGTATAATTCATGTAATCCCCCGAAAATTCTCCGGACATGTCCAGGTCTTCTCTGGAGAGACTAACATATCTACCGCTTGAAGTTCGCCTGGCAAATTTCACTGTTTGGCCACTTGAACCCCGGTTTCCATGAGAACCACCGGAAGAACCACCAGTGACCGGAGTGCGTGTTGCCTTCTTTGATGGCTGGCTAGTCAAGTTCGACATTTTCGAATTATTCTATATGATCATTAATTCAATTTGAAAAGATTCCTAGTTACGTAGCAATAGTTTAATTAACTAGGACACCCAAGATAGGCATTTCCTTTTCAATGAAGACGTGTTCTGTTTGTACATTAGAATCTTGCAAAAATTTGGTAGAAAAGAAAATTAAACTAATTATCTCAAGAACAAAAGGAGATTCAAAATGAGATGCAGAGGAGAGGATTCAGGAAACTATGTGGTATTTGGTTCATCTCCTCCAAAAAATCTGAGGAATGTATGGAAGAGAGAAAATAGAAGAGAGAAAATAGGAAGAACAGAAATGGCATTCCTGGTGAGAGACCAAGTCACGTAATTGCCTTCCCATGACGATCTGTTATCAGGCTTCAAGGAGAGTGTTCAACATGTCAAAACGGGCAGGCCGAATGAAACCTGCATGAACCAATGCTGGTTTCTAAGCCAATCTTTTATCAGATGGGCATTTTGGGTTGACTTATCTTGATCGACACCTCTATGTCCAAAGAATAAACTCCATGCATGCAATTGTTTTCAATTAAGGAAAATCGGGTTAGGTTATCCAATCTTTCAAGTAGCGTGATTTTGAATTCTGAGTATTAACATGAGGTTGTGCTTTTCCAACTTATTTAGTATGTGCATTTGGAACCTATTTTATGAAAATTGTCAATGTAGACGTTAAAATTGACTGCAACTTTCATGTGATTTATGCTCGACATTAGGTCATTTGACGATTTTATCCTTCTACCTTAAGTTAAATAAAAGTTGTGTATACTTTTCATTGATGATTTCGGTCCTATAAGAAGTCACATAAAAATTTGAAAGGTTGGAAACCAAAGCCTCAATTTGAGAACCCAAAATCACTTGATTGAATGTTTAGCGGTCAGGAAGTCCACACCTAATTCTTAAATTATAAGTAATTAGATTAACAATAATTTGAATTCAAATTAATAATTGTAAAATATAAATTTAATTAAATTGTTGGAAGTGTTGACAGTAATTTTTTTGAAGGATCTGTAGGAAAAAAATAAAGAAAATTATGAAAAACAATTTTTTTTTTTTTTTTGGGAAAAATATGGAGAAAAGTAAAAAACGAAAAAAAGAAAACGGTCACTTCGAGCACACTAACCTAAATTGCGGTATATGTTTATTCAACTTAATTGCAACATAATAAAATGATTAATAGGCGCAAAAGGAATCAATATCCGTCCATATCCTAAAGCTTGGTGATTTATGGAGAAGCTATTTAGTTTATACTACGAGTTATTCGTACCGAGGGTTCGAATCCATCTCTTTTCAGTTCCGTTGATGAAATTTGTGATTACATTAATTATTTATTTTGACTTTAATTTTGTAACAACTTATTAAGCACATGTTTAGTCTCAATTTTTTAAAATTCATTTTTCAACTACATTGAAATCCATAATTTTTATCAACTCTCAATCACACATTTTATAAACTTTCACCAAAATCTGATAAAACTTTTTTCAAAAGCTTTTCCTAACAACCACTTATTATTTTATCAATGTATAATGTACAAGATGTCAAAAATCATGCTATATGTACATAAAAGGTCGATACATACTGCATCCAAATTTACACAAGTGACGAACCAATGAGAAAGGCTGCCATTCATTAGGATTAATCGGACGAAACTCGAACACCCGAGTCACAAAAAAAAGGTTGATAAACTGATTAACATCCATTTGCGTCGACAGATTTTAGTACATTGATATTGACAATACCTTTTTTAATCAACCGTAAGATTTTTAACACATAAGGAGGTATCAATCAAGGTATATGCTTTGTGTGTACAAGTAGTTTAATCATCAGTAATACTTTATATTCTATCTCTATGTTTATAATGTATACAAATATGGATAAAGTCCATACTTGATGAATTTAGTAAGCTAAAAATATTTTATAAAATTTCATCAAACAGGACTTGAAATTTGAAGCATAAATAGACTTGTAATTCTATGAAGTCGGTTATCAAAAAATAATTATATATATAGAAATTATATTGTATGCTATGATCAATTCTACAACCTGTCAAATTAATAGCGTTGATTTTATAAATGGTTGCTTTACAATTTCTTCACACCCCTATACTTACAACGCCAAAACCCTAAATTAAGGAATGATTTTTCTAAATAACATAAGAATTCAAAGTACCTAGAATACCCATGCTAGAGGTATATGTCCGGTGAGCAAACCATTTCCTCAAGGGTTATTTTCGTCCGGAAAAAATTCAATATAGCCGTTAACCCCCCAATGCAAGTTCAACTGATACTCTCTCTCTCTCTCTCTCTCTCTCTCTCTCTCTCTCTCTCTCATTACATGGGACACCATCGTGTCCTATCGGAACCAGCAATCGCTCCCTCTTTCTAATACTAATTTCTTGGTTGTTTTAATTGCTTTAATTCATCCTCTCTCATATATCCACACACGCATAGCGTCTACATAAAATTTTAGTTGTTTGTGTATTTTTTTGTGCTAACGGTGATGGAAAAAGGAAGTGTTAATTCTTCTGCATCTTCGAACAAGATTCAATCACAAAGCCCGCTTCAGGAACTGCCCCTCTACAGACGAAGTTCGCCGGAGAATGTACGTGGTAGTTTTACGGTTTTTAATATTCTTGTATAGTTTAAGGTTTTCCACCAGTTATATCTATGTTAAGAAGAAATTTGTTGAAATTCGGAGAAAAGGAAAGAAATTAACTTAAAATTGGTTATGTTTTTCCAAGTCCACACTACTTTCAATTACATTTAATGATTTTCTGTTAAATTTTAATTCTACAAATTGGGTGAATTTTATTTGTTTTAGATTGTTGTTTTTTAATATAATTTTTTTTAAAATAGTCTGTAATTATAAGAGGAAAGAAAATAATTATCTGAAATTGGGTATATATTTTTCAATTCTGATCCCATGCCCCACATTATCAGCAATTAAAAATTCTAAAA